TATTAAAGAAGTTGGTAGTTAGAAATGATACATGTTGAACTGTGATTGTATCACATTAGAACATGAAGGAAGGTATAGTATGTTCCGGAATTTGTCTCTAACAGACCCGAGTCTAAGCATTGCACGATGAGAGATCATTAGAACATGACCCATCGGTCTGTTACAATAAATGAAGGAAAGTACTTATTCTAAGAAGAAGAAGGAGTCCTCAATAAAGATTTATTTTGTAACTCGAAGGTTACAATTGAAAGTCCTACGAAGATCTGAAGCTTTTTAGGATTAGCTGGATATTACCGAAGGTTTATCCAAGGCTTTTTTCGATCGCTACTCCATTAACAGCTTTGACCCACAAAGGAGCTATTTATACTTGGAATGAGAAGTATAAGGAAGCTTTTTAGAAGTTAAAGAAGAAGTTGTGTGAAGCACCGATTCTATCTTTACCTGAAGGAGTTGATGACTTCGTAGTTTATAGCGATGCATCTGGAGTTGGGTTAGGTTGTGTTCTGACCCAAAGGGATAAAGTGATAGTGTATGCATCGAGGCAATTGAAAGAGTATGAAAAGAACTACCCCACTCATGATCTGAAGTTGGCAGCGGTAGTATTCGCCTTAAAGATATGGAGGCACTATCTTTATGACACTAAATGTAATTTTTTCACTGATCATAAGAGTCTTCAATATCTCTTTAATTAGAAGGAATTGAACATGAGGTAACGACGCTGGCTAGAGTCACTCAAGGACTACGACTGTGAGATACTTTACCACCCTGGTAAAGCAAATGTTGTTGTTGATGCTCTCAGTCGGAAGGTAAACCTTGAAAAGAAAAGGCCAAGAGCATTGAGAATTGAAGTTGTCTCGACAATTGTGGAAAGTATAAAGAAAGCTCAAGAGGAAGCTTTAGATAAAAATGACCGAAAGGAAGAATGTTGGGGAAAACGTTAGTGGTTGATACAAACGGTCAAGGATTGAAGGTATTCCAAGATAGGATTTAGGTACCTAAGACGGGAGGAGTAAGAGACCTTCTAATGGAAGAAGCTCACAAGACCAAGTACTCGATTCATCCCGGCAGTTCAAAAATGTATAGGGATCTAAAACCCTATTACTGGTGGCCGACGATGAAGCTCGATGTTGCTAAGTATGTGGCCGAGTGTGTAACATGTGCTAGGGTTAAGGCACAACATCAGAAACCGTATGGGAGTTTAGAACCTTTACCTATACCCATAGGTAAATGGGAAGACATCACCATGGATTTTGTGACTAAACTGCCCAGAACAAGGAACGGTCACGACATGATTTGGGTGGTCGTTGAACGCTTCACTAAGAGTGCGCATTTCATAGCAACCAACGAGAAATGGTCTATGGATAAACTTGCGAATTCTTATGTGAAGGAAATTGTGAGGCTTCACGGTGTTCCGTTAACGATTGTATCAGATCGTGACAGTCGTTTTACCTCAAGGTTTTGGAGGAGTCTATAAGAGGAATTGGGTACCAAGTTGTGTTTGAGTACAGCTTACCATCCGCAAACCGATGGTCAGAGCGAACAAACAATTCAAACATTGGAGGATATGCTGAGAGCATGTACCCTGGAATTCCAAGGTAACTGGGATGAACACTTACCTCTAGTAGAATTTTCCTATAATAATAGTTTCCAATCGAGCATCAAGATGGCACCTTATCACACTTTGTATGGAGAAAAGTGTGGAACGCCGTCATGTTGGCTAGAAGCTGGGGAAAAGCAGTTTATGGGACCTAAAATAGTCCATCAGACTGCTGAAAAGTTGAAAGTGATTAAAGAAAGGATGTTAGCAGCTCAAGATCGACAAAAGAGCTATGCTGACAAGAAAAGACAACTGATATCCTTCGAAGTTGGAGATTCGGTTTTACTTAAAGTCTCACCGTGGAATGGACTTATAAGATTTGCTAAAAGGGGAAAGTTGAGTCCAAGGTCTATTGGACCATTTAAAGTTCTTCAGAGGATCGGGAATCAAGCTTACAAGCTAGAATTACCGGAAGAACTAGAGGGTATTCATAACACCTTTCATGTGTGTTTGCCCGACATAATTCCAATTTCTGAATTAAGGTTGGATGAAAACAAGAGGTTAATTGAAGAACCTGAGACAATCGTTGACCGTAAGACTAAGAAGTTGCGACGCAAGATGGTCGATTTAGTGATTGTGCGTTGGAAACATACAAATGGGCCAAATCTCACCTGGGAAACGGAGAGTGACATGATGAGTCGCTACCCGCATTTGTTTGCTGATGTGTGATTCCGGGGACGGAATCATCCTAAGGGGGGGAGAATTGTAACGCCCGTGTTTCTAGGCTAGGCATTAATATTGACGTAATAGTCTAGGTTAACCTTTGTAACGCATTTTGAAGAAATGAAAAGGAATTATGTGAATATTATGTGAATTATGTGTTTTATGCTTAATTATTAGGATTTAATTAATTAAGAATAAAAATGAGCGTCGAAAATAAATATTAGATAAAGCCGATATCTATTAAGAAAGTTGTAGTGGTCGTGACAAGGATTACGGATATATAAAGAATACTGAAATCCGAGTTATAACGAAGAAGTTATGACCTGTCGAAGTTTCGCGACAAAACCGGCACGGTGCCGAATGACGTAAAAAGTGAGTTTTTGATAAACTACTTTTTAGCCTTAGTGATCTAAACGAAATTCGTAGTGTTCATTAAACCGAGAGTATGTATAAAAAGAACGTCCAAATCTGACTTCGTATGAGGAAGTTATGACTTTTCTAAGTTTCAGCTTAGCAGTAGACAGCTAAAAACTTGAATTTTAGATCGATTGATTTTTAGCCGACATGACCTAAACGAGAATCAAAGGTATCATCAATAGTAGTACAACGGTAAAAAGACCGACGAAAACGGACGTCGGATGAAGAAGTTATGAATTTTTAACGGATTTCCTGTCCCGGTCCGTTAAAAAATAATATTAAAATTAAAGTCAAAATTAGCCGACGAAGTCTAAATGAAAGCTGTAGAACGTAATTTTACCTACGCATGCATATAAAGAACGTCAAAAACGGAGCCCGTATGCGAAAGTTATGGATTTTAGAAGTTTTGGCACAAAAATCAAGAAAAACACAAAATCTGAGGAATTTCGCATGGACAGGCTTCGGCCACATCACCCAGAATCTCGCATGCATGCCACGTGCTCGTTGCTGATTCGACCGAAGGGAGGCCCAACCGAAGTAGGCGGCGTGTCGCCTCGTGTCCAAAGGAGCTTAGTCACTGATGCGTTGTGCAGCCGAGAGTCCAACGCGTGCCCAGGTGACTCCTCGCATCCGAAGCCGCCTTACCTCGCACCGACGCGTGTCGCACCAGCTGTCCGAGCTTCGCAGGCACCACCTCCCACCCCTCAGACCTTAGACCTCGGTCCAATCAGAAGAAGACACATGGAGCCTCGGATGCGAGCCGCGTGTTCCCTTATCTGCCACCTTGGTCCGAAGCCTCCCCTATAAATAGAGGGGTGCGAGACCTCCCGAGGATAATTTAGAAAATTGTCATTTTACACCCCTAAACCCATACTTCTTCCATTCCAACCTCCCCCAAAGCCCCGGTATAATACCAAACACCTTAAACACATCCCGAAGCGCCCGAGAAGCCCGAGAAATTTATCTTTTCGGTTTTGAAGCCCGACCCTCGCAGAGCCCGGTTTCTTAATAAAACTGTCGGTTTTATTAGAAACGATCGTTTTAGGAAACAAAGTGCTGCCCGATTATCATTAAATCAAGTGAGTGTGTAGTCACCTTCATCTTACACCTAGATATGAAGTATTTTCTATAAAATATGTGCTATGTGTAATTATATTAATTGTTTAATTCAAGTGACTGTTGAATAGATGTTTTATACAAGTTTTAAACTGTATATGTATTTTATCTACAAATATGTTGGGTAAAACATGGGTAGACGAAATAGCCGATGTGTGTTAAAATGATGAGAGGCCTCGATGTTATTGTGATCCAGTCATCTAGCGGAGTATGGATGACGACCACAGACTTTTCTAGACAGTCCAATGGAACGCTGGCAGGCTCGCAACCTGTAGGTGTTAATGAGCTTGGGTGTTCATTTGCTGTACTCCATCCCCCTCATGGTTGCCTTTAGGACATGTATGGCTGAGGACTCCCCTTAGCAGTAGTGTCCACCCCGATGATAATCCTTAGGCTAGGTCCCTTGTGATAGGTGTTTAGGGACGTAAAGTGATGATAACGGGAATGGATAATCAGGGTTATTGTTGATCGGTGAATTTAATAAGTTTATTATTATTGTGGGTTGAAAATCCTATATGCTCACCAGACTCCCAAGTCTGACCCACTCAGCTTTTTATATTAGAGGTAGTGGACCCCGAGCATAATCGGATGATGATGAGACATTTTTGGATTATAGGCCAGTAGTTGTAAATAACTGTTGTAAGGCTTATAATGTCTTGTTTATGCTTTTGATCTGTATCGGAACACGACATCCCGAGGTTTTGATATAAAAGGAAAATATATATTTCTTAAAGAAAGGTTTTGATAAACTTTTATCATGTTTTGTTTTGGGGACCAATTCCGCAACATCTTTTAAAAGGATTCCTCTGATTTTTTTTAAAAGCATAAATTAAATCGGTCTTTTCTGGCCGAGAAATTAGGGGATGTCACAAATGATGGTCAAACTGTTCCACACAACGTTTGCATGCAGGACAATGTTTGGAGTGAATGGGTCTTATTATCTAGATAAAAGGATATTAAATATTAATAATAATATATTTGAAGTGTGATTAAAAAAAGAATTAAAATAAAGAAATTAAAGAAAGTCTTTTTTAACAAACCTTGCAAGTAGGACATAATTGAGACCAATTTCCACTCCAATAAGCAGTGTTAGTCAAATCAATGGTCAACAAAGGACCTCATATAAAGTCACAAGAAGAATTATAAACCAGTCAGTTTATTTATTTAGCACTAATTCTTGAGTAAGGATAAAATGGTGATTTACTAATTAATCAGAAAGAAAGCATACCTCGGCATCAACATTATTCTTTATCCCTCCCGACATATTCACATAACCAGGATCTTTACTGAAAAAGTTATGAACAAAAAAAATAGTCAACATTAACCAACATTATTAAATTTGTTGTATTTCTTGAAATATTTCAAAAAATAAAAAATAAAAAATATACCTGCTACAACGGATAACCATCAATAAAGAGGCGATTGAAAGGGTAACAGTTGTCCATCCCCAAAGCCCAACAACAGCAGTGACCTTAACAAGATTGGAAGCTAAAATAGATGAAATGGGGAGGATCTTGATTAGTAATTTAGTATAGTAAAATAAATCATTTTAAGATGATTAAATAATAATATAAATTATTGATACCTACCAAAAAGAATGGAATTGATGAAGATTAATGTGCTGACAAATACTAAACAAAACAAAATAGGGGCGTAGCATATATCCCCGATTTTTTTTTAATCCAAGATTTGTCTTTCCAACAACTGTTTTGTGCACGATGTGCATTAGACTGCATAATTTTCATAAAAACAAAAAGATATTTATTATAAATTTTCATAAATGGTAAAAGAATTATGAGAAAGAAAAAGGAAACATACAAGGATCAAAGAAACACGACGATGGCCTCTATTTGTTGCAATTTGTGCAGGTGTAAATCCAATACTATCTTTCACCATTAATTCATGTTTGTCCCTGAATGTTGAAGTACAACACATGCCTCCAAAAATCCTCTCAATGTTGCCCAATGCAAAGGGGTACAACCTAACAAAAAAATATATATTCAGTCCTTATTTTTTTTTTTTTTGAGTTATGTGTTGTTTGGATTTGGATACATGATGTTTGAAAAATATTTGAGAAAGTGAGGGCATAGGTGGGAAAGAGAAGGAAACATGAATGGGGACAAATTTGTAAAATTTGTAGTCTTACAATAATATATACAACATAAACCATGTCACACAAAAAGATGACCAGTTACTAAATTCAATCACCTTGATGCATAATAACCTCTCCAATGTACTGCAAAAAAATTCATTACTAAATTCAATCACCTTGATGCATAATAACCTCATAAAACAACTAATTCCAGTTATTAAAAAAACAAGTCTACATAGCTCAGTTCTGTCCCTGAATGAGACATAATATGAATCGGTAATATAAGCTAGTGAGACAAGGATTAAAGATAAACTGAAAAGTAAAAAAAAACGTTGATCTGGAGTTGTATTAATACAAATTCATATTATGTATTAATGATGATAATTTTATCACAATTCCATTATTTTTCAAAATCATGCTACAAACCAAATGCAAGCTTAGGGTTTTAAAAACTTACGAGATATCGGAATAAAATCCAAGGACTAATTAAGATATCATCACTCCTGCGAGGGGCTTTTTTCATGATGTATTTGTCTGGTGGCTTAAAACCCAAGGCTGTTCGCAGGTGGGCCATCTGTAAACAGATTCACCCATATAAGATGAACTGGAATCAGGCCTTTTGGAATCCCAATGGCAGCAGTTAGAAAGATGCTAGCAACCTCACCAATATTTGAAGAAATCATATACCTGTCAGACACAAATGGACAAAATGCAATTAGTTTCAGACTACGTTCAACTATGGTAGTGTTTGGTTAACTAACCGGATAAAGGCTTTCAATTGTTGTAAATGGATCTGCCTTCTCCAACTGCAGCCACAATCGTGCTAAAATTATCATCAGCCAGAACCATGTCAACAGCTACCTTTGCAACCCGGAGAAAAAAAACCCCAAAAAGATTCGCATTAAATTTATGTCTACAAATAGATTACATTCATCATCTCTATTAGAATACACATACCTCAGTTCCAGCAATGCCCATTGCAATCCCAATATCAGCCAATTTCAAAGTAGGTGCATCATTCACACCATCACAAGTCCTGCTAAGCCAGCGAATTAACTGCTTACCTGAAGTCCTGCTAAGCCAGCGAAGGTTAGATTACTTTCGATTAAAGGGTAAGAGGCAGGATTAAGTAAAAGTTTATGAGCAGGATGTTCTTCATCCCCATTAACAAATGAATTACTTGTTCAAAAACAAACAACATTACAGTTTAGGTTAACGTTCAAAGAAAATGTTAAATTGTTAATTAACCAATTTAAGTTACATTTTTATTTTATGCTAATGGATAAAGTATCTGAAACAACTAAATATAAAAGGTATAAACCACAAACTTCATTGTCATCAAATTTATTTGTCTTTTCACATTATTGTTTTATAATAAAATAAATTATAAAGAATCACATAATTCAAGTGATAGACTATTAATCACAAACTTTATGGTATACTGCCTCTGCACCTTGTCATCTGTAAGCTAAACACGTTCATTATAGACCATTAAACCATTAATAAACAAAATCAACTATTTTAATTTTCCATTCATGAAAAAGAACCTGAAGCAATGATTTAACACATCTAGTTGTGTAAGACGAATGAATAACATAACCAGTAATCTTGTGATCTCACATCTGGAGCTGCAACTGCTCAAATATCGCAACTATCTAAACTGAAAAGCATTCTTTTGACCCACCACCAATCAAAGCACCAATTGAAGTGTTCCTTGAAACAGAGTTTCTATCGAGCATTTTAACAAACATATTGTGTGCTTCATCTACACCAGCAACGATTTAAGTGTTCCATTTCTCCCCATTGATTCCCCCTACCAAACACAACCTAAAAAAAGAATACGAACCTGAGACAGAGACTGGGTTGATTGACCATGGTCGATCTGGTAGCCACCAGCAACGCGGTTCTGAGTTTGCTTCTCGATCGCGTCCATGACAATTTAGTACCCACCATTGCTCACATATTGCAGGTTGGGGGAGGTTCATCATAGAGGGCAGGAAGAATGGGAGAAGGAGTTGTGGTCAGAGGTGGGTGGTGTGAGGGTCTACCCAACGGTGGATGGCCTTGCTCGGTCCACCAACAGTGTCTCAATCTCCGGTCGTCGAACAAGAACCGGACGTATAGAGAAAGTTGAGCAGAAGTTGGAGACCAGATGTGGAGAACTTATGGGAACAAGCGACGAAGATGCAAAGTTGTTGGAGGATCGCACTGGAGATGCAAAGTTGGAGAGAAGTGAAGCGGTGGAGGTTTGAGAATCGAGAGAGAAGAAAGAAAGAAATGGGGGTTTCGGTGGGGATGAGCTAGGGTTTTCAGCCGGTGGAAACAAAGCGGGCTTTTTAATTTTTGGGATTTCATTTCCCCCTTGGATGAAACACGCGTTTTATTAAAATTTATAAAACGACATAGTTAGACGACACACATTTTATTTAAGATGCCCTCCGTGTATTTTATATTTTTTATTAGACACTAATTTTAGGGCACGCAAAAATGCGTGTCCTCTATCAGTGCGTGTCATTGATTGCGCGTCGTAAAAGGCTGTTTTTCTAGTAGTGAGTCCTTTTACTTAATGATTACCTGAGAATACAAGTTATTTTGAAAACGGTCAACATATATAATGTTGGTGAGTTCATAAGCATGTTTGAATGAAAGTCTTTGTATTGTTTGTAAAACCCAGAAAATCCGATATTTTCTGTAAAAAGTCTGAAAAGTGATGTGAAAATCGAGTATAAATGCATGTGTGAATTTCATAGTAGTGACATATAGAAATGCAGTTCAACTTTCTTTGTATTCTTTCTGTTGTAAGTAAGTGGTATTTGAATAATAGTATTTCCCCAGAAAATCCGATATTTTCTGATTTATAAAAATGTCACGGTCTTTGCACTGTCGAAATGTTTTGTATCAATATGACTTACGAGTTTTTAATTTTCCGTAATGTCGTGAGGGGAATGTATCTCTATATGAGTCGTTATAACCATACATGATAGTGACAGATTTGCCTGTCTTGGCATTTTTCCAAACGCCAGATTTTCGATCAAGGTTTTGTCACCCTAGATTGGCCTAGTCTAACTGTAGCGAACTGCTCAGGTGTGGGGGAGTTACCCCCGTATAGATCTATACACAAACTATCGCTCTCCCTCGAGGAGACTCTGATTATAACTACAAGCTACGGCCATACACTTAGTGGTGTCAACGGATACGTCTCACTAGATCTCATTTGTCTCCACATGAATTTGTATAATGTTATATGTATTTAGAAGTTCGAACACTAGATGATGTATGAAATGAAAAGAAAAGGCCCAACAAACATGAAGAAAAGGCAACTATGGCACATTAGACGTGTAAGTTATTTCCAGGCTAAATTAGCATGTAAATGGGCCACTAAGGCCCAATAACATGTAAAAGCTAAATTAGGCCCATTAAGCATGTAATTGGGTCACTGAGGCCCAATAGACATGTGATGAATACATTGGGCCCAATAAACATGTAAATGGACCACGAAGGCCCAATAAACATGTATAGCAAATACTAGGCCCAATAATTGTACCATTGTTGTATTTCGTTTAGTTGCTATAGTATATTTCGTTTAGTCGAATTATTTATCTATAACGTTATAAAAAGTCCAATGTTTTGCTATAATGATATTTTTAGTTTGATACGTCAAAATTCTATAATTTGAACCCGTATTTATTAAAAATTACACTTTAGGTCCCTTAAGAACTAATTTGAACATTTAAAGGCTCATTTTTACATAAAATGTCATTTTGGTCTATTTTAAATTAAAAATAACATTTTAGTCCATAAATTTATAAAAATTTATATTTTCGCCCCAAATGTTTAGTGATTGACGGGTTTGGCCCAAAAATACATGTAATGACATTTGCAGTCCGTTTTTGCAGAAAATTACAATTTCAGCCCTTATTTTCATAAAATAACAATTTCGGCCCAATTTTTATAAAATTAACATTTTTGGTCCAAATCTTGAGATAGTGTCATTTTCAGCCCCTAATCTCGTTTATTCTCATTTTTGGCTCAAGTTTTGATTAAATAACATTTTACTCCCCAAAAATTGATATTTTTGCAATTTTGGGCTCAATAAGTCGTGAGGCCCAAATTAAGGCCCAAAATGCCAAATTTTAAACTTTTGACCCTTAGGAAAATATGATTGTTATAAAAACTCATTTTTAAGCTAATAATACCCTTTTAGCCCCTATAAAACCGCAGGTGTCACTCTTGTCCCTAATCTTTTGTTTATTTGCCAAAAATGATCCTTATACAAGATTTTGTTTAGTTTTTCACAACTTAGGCATTTATAACACTTTTATTTATGAATCTCACATATTTTTGTTGAAGTTTCATGGATCCATCGAGTTTATCACACAAGCACAACATATACCAAAAAAATACACATAACATGCATATATACATGGATCTACACATAAACACTTGTATTCTCCCCCAAAAACAAGTAAAAACCGAAAACAAGGGGGTATGAACTCACCTTTGCATGATGTTCTCGGTTTGGTGAAGAAAAGATGGAGGTTTCGGCCCTAGCAAGCTTTCTTTGAGTAGATCTTGAACTTAGGGGGTTTTCTAAGAGTATGATCACACAAAAAATGTTTAGAAGGAGTGATCTAGCATAATAATGAAGTTACTTAGCTTGGATGTGTGATGACTTACCTAAGATTGATGATCTTTGGTGAAGATATTCTTGAAACACTTAGAAATCTCGAAAATTTGGATGGAAGGAAGGAGGATGTTCTTGAGTGTTTGAGAGAGTTTTCTTGAAAGATTTTTGAGAGAATGAGGGTGGTGTGAGGTGTTTCGGCCGAGAAGAAGAAGGGAGAAGAGAGAGGGAGTGAGGTGATGTGCATGGAGATCCACCATGCAATAAAGAGGTGACAAGTGCACAATTTATCTTGTTTTCTTCTTTTTTTTGTTACTTGTATATATATATATATATATATATATATATATATATATATATATATATATATATATATATATATATATATATATATATATATATATATATATATATATGGGCCGATCAATTGGGCTAGGAGGAAGGAATGGGTTATCTTGGGTCATTCCTTGCCTTTGTTCGAAATCATGAAGCCCAAAATTTTTTTTTCGGCCCATTGGGCCCTTAGAGTGGTTTACGGCCCAATAAAAATCCATTAGGGCTAATTAAATCATTTATGGCCCAAAAAGGCCCATTAGGGTTAGAATGAATCATTCTAGGCCCAAATGGTCCAAAATGCTATAGATTTATGAATTGGGTCCATTTAGAGTCCAAATAGAGTTTCTAAGCCCAATGTAGTTGAATTTAATGCTTCTTGGTCCATTAGGCCCAATAAGGAAGTCCTAGTCCATAATGAACTTGAACTTGGATCTCTAGGGTTTTCAACTCCCCAAATGACTATTTGGATACTTTGTGTAGAGTTTTGAACTTCACTTGTGAATCTTGATTAAGTTTGTGGTCATAGAATGAACATAGTGTATGATATTATGTTAGAGTTACAATTATTATTATAGATGACGTTTACATGACCACAGAATTTCCTGACAAAGATGCCAGTTGTGACAGATGGCTGGTGGGGGATTGTGTATCGTGGGTTCTGGGTTGGTACCCTCTGAATCTTCATCTTCATCTTCATCTTCTTCTTCCTCTTCTGGATCCTCTTCCATAATTTCTTTTGGATCCTCTTCCGGATCCGCTACTATCCATCCTTCGTTATCGTGGTTCGGAAAGTAAGAGTCCCCTGGTAAATGAAATCTGGCCATTGTGTCTGTGCGAGAATAAGGACATGAGAAGTGCATGAAAAACTAAAGCACA